AATTCATATCACAAGCATGTTCATGGCTTCAAACTTCCCCCTAACTAAATAGGGGTTTAGTTCCTCATGTTCACAAAACAAAGATAAATAGAATTATACATTGAAAACAAAAGAAAGAAAACACCTAAACGTTCCAACGATCCATTTTGGATAGCACGCACGTACAAGAACTTTCCTCTTCTTCTTTGTTGCAACACAAGGTTGGAGTGATGTTTTGAAGGGTTGGTTATGTGGAGGAACGGATGGGAAGGAGTTTAGATATGTAGGGAGAGGCAAGGCAAGGCTTGGAGAATGGTTAATTTCTGGATGATTTGAATGAGGTTGCTGCCATGGTATTTATAGGAAAAGGATGGACTTGTTTAACACAAAATTCTGGTGGAATTGAGTAGGTGAGCATGGCAAGAGTGGGAATTGTTGGTGGGTTAGGTATTGAGTCATCCATTCACATGTCATGGTGAGTTAAGCATTGCATTATCCACTCACATGTCATGGTGATTTAAGCATTGCATCATCACTCAAATTTCTGGTGAAAGTGAATCAATGCCCACGGCATTGAAGAATTTCTTGGTTTTGAGTGAAGTTTTGGTCAATCCTTCTAGAAATTTATCCCTTCTTGCAACTTGTATTTGTTTCACCAGATTTTTAGCATGTTCATAGCCTCTTTTGTCTTCAAATTCGTCCCTCCTCATGCCTCCATGCTTGCAAAATCCAATCTTGGCCCAAAAATGCTCTAGAATGTTCCAAATTGCTCCTTTTTGCATACTTTGACAATAAAACCTGAAATTGCACGAAAATGACTTTAAACACTAAACTAACTAAGGAAAAATAACATAAATGCATGAGAACAAGCCAATTAAGTCGCATAAAAATGCTCCTATCAGCCGAGAGTTGGTAATCTCTGGCTACAGGCGCAGAGACCACGGTGCTGGCATAGGGCCAGAAGTTATATTTATGTAGTGATCTTACTGGCAGCACACCGCGCTTATGAGACAATCTGTGAGGCGATTGATATTTTGATTTCGCTATGTTTTTCCGTGATATGTCTTCTGAGATGTTTTTGGCATGCTAGGGTTTTCAATAAACTTATCACTTATTATGCTAGTAGTTTTCTTTATATAAACTTGGAAGTTAGTACGTTGGTAACTGTTTTATTATATATATATATATCAACTTGGTCCACTCATGTTTGTTTTGCGCCCCTTTCAGGACTTAGAATCGAGGCATATAATCCCGACGTCCAGGCACTTCTGCGTTGGCATCTTTGAGTCCTCTTGGTGTAGGACCCAATCATTTGTTAACTCAATTTTTATATTATTTCTTTTAGTGTTTTAGTTAGTTGTATGCTCTGAACACGTTCCTTAAATGCACATTTTTTTCTTCTTCTATATTTATAAGTTTTATCTATCCATTATTTTCAGTATTTGCACTCAATAAATGGCTTTCGTCACTCTCGGGTGTCAGCCAACACGTGCCTATCTTGGTATTTAGGGAATATTGGGATTGGGGCGTGTCATTATGGAGGGCCCAAAACTTATGAGGAGGCCAGAGCTTATAACGACAGTGACAAATGGATGAAGGCAATGGAGTCAGAGATGGATTCCTTGTTAAAGAATGATACCTATGAGCTGGTGGAGCTTCCAAAGGGCAAAAAAGCATTGAAAAACAAATGGGTGTTCAAATTGAAAAAAGACGACAACATGACAAGGTACAAGGCTCGTTTGGTTGTCAAAGGTTTTGGTCAAAAGAAAGGAGTTGACTTTGATGAGATTTTTTCACCAGTGGTAAAGATGACTTATATTCGAGTTATCCTTGGTATGGCAGCAAGTATAGATCTTGAGCTCAAGTAGTTAGACATTAAAACTGCATTTCTCCATGGCAATTTAGAAGAGGAGATATACATGGAGCAACCCAAAGGCTTTGAAGTCAAAGGTAAAGAAAATTTGGTATGCAAGCTGAAGAAAAGCTTATATGGTCTTAAGCAAGCCCCAAGACAGTGGGATAAGAAGTTCAACTCATTCATGGTGAGTTATGGGTACAAGAGAACTCATGCTGACTCTTGTGTCTATATCAAACAATTTTCTGAAATTCATCATTTTATTGCTTTATGTTGATGACATGTTGATTGTCGGTCAAGATGCTTTTATGATTAAAAAGCTCAAAGAAGAGTTATCTAAGTCCTTTGACATGAAAGACTTAGGGCCAACCAAGCAGATTTTGGGCATGGAGATAATTCGTGACAGAAAATCCAAGAAATTGTGGCTGTTACAAGAAAAGTATGTTGAACGGGTGCTTGAAAGGTTTAACATGAAAGCAGCCAAACCGGTAAACTCACCTTTAGCCAATCATATCAAGTTGAGCAAAGAGTCATGTCCAAAAACATATGAAGAAAAGGAGAAAATGACAGTTATTCCCTACTCTTCAGCAGTAGGAAGTGTCATGTATGTAATGGTGTGCACATGTATATTGCTCATGCAGTAGGTGTGGTAAGCAGTTTTCTCTCTAATCCAGGGAAAGACCACTGGGAAGCTGTTAAGTGGATTCTCAGATATTTGAAGGAGACTTCTAAGATGTGCTTATGCTTTGGCTGTTCCAAACCAATCTTGGAAGGATTTATAGATGCTGACATGGGCGGTGACCTGAATGGTAGAAAGTCTACGTTTGGGTACTTGTTTACTTTTGCAGGGGGAGCTATGTCTTGGCAATCCAAGTTGCAAAAGTGTGTTGCTTTGTCCATAATTGAGGCTGAATACATAGCCGTTACAGAAGCATGCAAAGAGTTATTGTGGTTGAAACGGTTTCTCCAAGAGTTGATTTTGAAGCAAAGTGATTATGGCATTTATTGTGATAGTCAGTGTGCTCTGGATTTGAGCAAGAACATTGCATATCATTCATGTACCAAGCACATTGATATTCGTTATCACTGGATTAGAGATGCTATCGAGAATAAGTTGCTACAACTGAAGAAGATTTATACCAATAATAATTCCTCAGACATGTTGACAAAGGTAGTCACAAAATCAATGTTGGAATTTTGCATTAAGGCTGCTGGGATGGACTCCAAGTAACTTGGAGTCATGATCGGAATTCCTCGCTCATGGATTGGAGGGTGAGATTGTTGGTATATGGTCCAGCCCATGATGAATGTTCTAGATTATTCTAGTAAGCAAGTGAGGTGGCTAGAGCATGCTAGACAATTCTAGCATGTTATTAAGTTGATGGAAGAAGCTAGAGAGTACTAGCTTCCTTGGTTGCAAATGGAAAGATCTAGAAGCTACAATTTTGTGGCTGTCATGCAAGCCCAAAGTCAGTGGGCAATGAGTAAGTCGGCATAAACCCACCTATAAATAGGTTTGTGGGTGTTGCTAGCATTGTAGTGAGTAGAAAAGGATCAAGTCCAAAGCTAGAATTCCACTCCAAGAGTGAGAGTGAGAGTGTTCCACCACACATTGTGAGTGAAGTTTAGAGTGATAGAAAGTGTGTGTTATACTTTCTTGTATCCATCAAGCCTTGTCTTTGGCTTGGTAAGACTACTCTTCTTGTACTCATCTTTTTCATATAGTGAAGATTGATCGTTGTTTCGTGGACGTAGGCATAAATTGCTGAACCACATAAATTCTTGGTGTCCATTTTCTACTTTACTTTGTGCATTCTCTATCTTGTAGTACCGACATTCCTAACAAGAAATTCCCTCCTCTAGAATGGGAACGTTGGATCGACCTGATACGGTAGCGGCTCACTCCTTGAGTTTCTGGCATGAGTTCGTAAGTATCTTTCCCTGCCAATATTACTAGTCAGGTGCCTTCTACTCCCATCAGGTGGACCAAACCCCATCCGGGTTTCTTAAAAGTCAATGTGGATGGTGCCTGGTCCGACCAACGGAAGCTGGGTGGAGTGGGTATTGTCATTTGCAATGAGCTTGGTGCATTTGTGGCTGCTCGTTCCCTACGGTTTGGGTTTGTTTTCTCCGCTTTACATGTTGAAGCTCTGGCTGCTAGAGAGGGCTTATCTCTGATGACGGAAAGGGGTCTTCTTCATTCAATTATTATTGAGAGCGATTCTCTCCAGATCGTGAGATCGCTACTTGGGAATTCTTCGGATATGTCTGTAATTGGCCATATAGCAGAAGATTCTAAGGCGGCTCTTCTCGGGATCATTGGAGTTCTTGTTACCCATACCCATTGTCAAGCCAAATAGCTCGTCATGCTCTCCGCATGGACACACCTTCTCGGTCTTGGTTTGAAGAACCTCTTGATTTTATTTTGTCTTCTTTACTTTCAGATTGTATTGTTGATGGTGGGGCTAGCTCTTTCTCTATGACTTGTAATCTGTTTTCTTTTTTAATGAAAGTCTGCCGTTGCTATCCAAAAAAAAAAAAAACATTTCTCTTTCACTTGGAAATATTTCTACCTTGTTGGTTTGTAGGCCAAGTTTGCATTGAATCCTAAAAAGTCAAGGGAAAATATGCTTAGGAATAATTTTTTCATTAGTGTATAATGCATATTTGACCTTTAATTCTACGGCTTAATTAAATTTCCTAAGAACACAATTTTTTTAGATTGAATAGCTGTATTGAACGTTAACACAATTATATAGTTCATCTTAAGTTAGTGTTCGACGACAAAGTCACTAACCTTTTATTTAAACATTTTTTTAGTCTTCAACGTTCCTTTCTAAGTTGATAGGCACGGGAGCAGCCGGCTATTTTTGGCCCCACAGCTATAGTTTCCATTTTTGTATTCCCATGTAATCAAATTTTTTCTATGTTAATGAATCTGTTCTTGTTATATATAAATTCGTGTAAATTAAACCTTGGTTTCTTATTTTCTCTGCATTTAGAAAGAAAAAAAAAAAAAAAACAAGAAGAAAAAAGAATGGAGCATTCATCGCCTAGTACTCATGGCAGACTGGTTTTGTTTAACTTCCTTCATGCGTTCATTCTTTTATGCATGAGCACATGTCTGGAATCTTCAACACTACGCACCACAACTCTTGGAAATGAAATGGATCGCCTGGTGCTGCTCGACTTCAAGAAAAGAATCACTGAAGATCCTCTCCATGTCATGAGCTCGTGGAATGATTCCATCGATCTCTGCAGTTGGGTTGGCGTTACATGCAACCGTGCCACCAAAGGGGTTGTGATTCTGAATCTCATGTCTCAAAAATTGGTAGGCTCCTTACCGCCCTCTGTAGGAAATCTTACTCATCTTACTGGAATCAACTTGATAGAACAACTTTAGTGGTGAAATTCCTGGAGAAATGGGTCGTCTACGAAGCCTGCAACATCTCAACTTGTCTTACAATTTATTTGGCGGGAAAGTTCCAGCAAACATATCTTATTGTACCCAACTTAGAACGCTCCGTCTAGCTGCCTATTAGCTTATTGGTTCAATTCCGGACCAGCTCGGTTCTTTGTTGAATTTGAATTTTCTACTGCTTGATGGTAACAATCTCAGTGGAACAATCCCTGGTTGGATAGGAAACTTTTCATCTTTAAGAAGTCTCTTTCTTTCCCAAAATAATTTTCAAGGGAACATACCCAATGAACTGGGGCATCTAACAGTCTTGTGGAATTTCTCACTCGGGGAGAATAATTTGCCTGGTATGGTCCCTTCTTCTATCTATAATATTTCTTCCCCATACATTTTCAGTGTTATTGGCAACCATATGCATGGAGAGTTACCACCAAATGTCGGCGTTACTCTTCCTAATCTCCAAGCATTTTACTGTGGTGCCAACAACTTCACAGGACCTATTCCTCCATCATTCTCAAATGCTTCTAGACTTCAGATCCTTAATTTTGCGTTTAATGGTTTACCCTGCTGAAAGTCTTGGAAGCTTGGGGAGCTGGGTCAAAATAAACTTTGGTCACAATCGACTGGGAAGTGGGGAGAATGGCGACTTGAATTTGTTGGAAAATTAGTTATTAGTTTATTATTGTTTAAGGTTTTCTTGTGGGCCAAGGATATTAGAGTTTCTTGCCCATTAGAATTAGGTTTTCGTTTCCTTGCTTATTAGGGACTAGGGTTAGTTTATTATAAATAGAGAGCTTTGTTATTCAGAGATAACAAGTTAGTCACGATGTAGTCTCTTTGAGTTTTGCAGCCTTTCAGCATCTTCGTTTGTTTAATAATATTTCTATTATTATCGTTAAGTGTTGTTTGTTACGAACTCTGATATTTAACATGGTATCAGAGCATGTTTGATCCTTACGAATTTAATCTGCCCTTGATTCGTATTAGTTTGTTTGTCCGTCTTATTCATTGTTTAGTCCTTGGTTTAGTCTGAATTGCCCAGAGACTCACTGCTACACCAGTTTGTCTACCGAGCTACCCTAGAGCAATTCCGCGTTGAATGCATATACTGTTGAAATCGCAGAATTCACCATTGTTTACCTGGATGTTTGAACATGATCTATTGAACATGCATCTCCCTCAAATTAAACCTGAACCACCGAACCATGATTCTGCCTTACTGCTTGCCTTTGAACCTCTGTGCTCTGTCGAAGTCTGCTTGCTTCGTGCCTGCAATCTTTCCGTCACCTCACCATCTGCTGCCGTTGAACCTACCTGGAACCATTGCTACCCGGACTTGTAACCTGTTGTCGCCACCACTGCACTGCAATCTGCTCAACAACCACCCCATATGCACACTGCCGCTGCAACCAGAAAACCTAGCACATCTACCGTCCAAGCCCACCTGATCAGTTCCGTCCACAACATGCACCTCCGCATCCTCGCCCTTTGATCCACACTTCACCGCCGCCGCTGCTATCCCATCGCGTCAAGAATCCCATAATTGAGATCCCATACCTACATTCGGATTTGTTTTCTCTGGAGAACACTGCCTAGATAGAAGAAAGGAGTAAGGAAACAGAAGCCGAAAAAAGAAAAAGAAAAAAGGAAAAAGAAAATAGAGAGAAGAAAAGCAAAAGACGTTGTTTTTTTTAATTGACTTGTTCGAGCCCCACCTAAGTGATTTGAGAATGGAGTCTGTTGTCCACCATCACGACGATTGCTCGAGTGCTTGAGTTGATAACCACTCGAGTAACGTTGTGTACTTGCTTAGTAATTGGATCGTTTGCCAGAATCCACTAGCTTGCTTCTTCGCTTAGATTGTTTGTTCGCTCGCTTGATTGCCTGTTTGCCTTGTCTTGTCCGCCTAACGGAGCTTGCCTTATCGTGTCCGCCTAACGGAGCTTGTCGTGTCTTGTCCGCCTAACGGAGCTTGCATCCACATCTGCTTGTTGGCAAACTCATGACGTGTACCGCCATGAGTTTGATGGGGGGTGTTGAAAAATTAGTTATTAGTTTATTATTGTTTATGGTTTTCTTGTGGGCCAAGGATATTAGAGATTCTTGCCCATTAGAATTAGGTTTTCATTTCCTTGCTTATTAGGGACTAGGTTTAGTTTATTATAAATAGAGAGCTTTGTTATTCAGAGATAACAAGTCAGTCACGATGTAGTCTCTTTGGGTTTTGTAGCCCTTTCGGCATCTTCGTTTGTTTAATAATATTTCTATTATTATCGTTAAGTCTTGTTCGTTGCGCACTCTGATATTCAACCTGAATTCTATCAACTTCTTAACAAATTGTACTAACTTGGAGGTGTTGGGTCTTGACAATAATCAATTTGGAGGAGAACTGCCAGGATCTGTAGCCAATCTTTCCACTCAACTGACTTTTCTTACTTTCGGAAGCAATTTGATACATGGAAGCATCCCTGACAGTCTTGAACATCTTGTGCACTTGATCAGTCTAGGAGTAAAAGATAACTACTTGGGTGGTAGTGTCCTTGATGGCATTGGGAAGCTTCAGAAGTTACAGGCACTTGCTTTGGATCATAACAAATTTTCGGGGCCAATCCCGCCCGTGCTGGGCAACTTGACTTCAGCTATAACAATCTACATCAACAAGAACAGGTTGAACGGCAGGATACCTCCAAGTCTTGGGAATTGTCAAAATCTCATATTACTTGACTTTTCTAGTAACAATCTAACAATCTCATATTCTTTGTCTTTCGTCCCTTTCAATCTATTTGGACATGTCTAACAACTTTTTGATAGGTTCAATACCATTTGAAGTGGGTCGTTTGGTAAATCTCGCGGAACTAGATGCATCAGGAAACAAGTTATTAGGTGAAATCCCAATAACCCTTGGTAGTTGTGCTAGTTTGGTGGTACTGAATTTGGGCCATAATGAATTTCAAGGAACAATTCCTCAATCTCTTGAGAATTTAAGAAGCTTGGAAGAAATTGATATTTCGGGAAATAACTTGTCAGGGAATATTCCTCAATTTCTAGGCAAGTTGACATTTCTCAAGCATCTCAATCTTTCTCACAACGATTTTGAGGGTAAATTGCCTAAAGAAGGGGGTTTTTCTAAATGCAAGTGGTCTCTCAATTCTCGGAAATGATAAACTTTGTGGTGGCATCTCATAATTGCATCTACCTGCATGCCCCAAAATAAAAATCCATTCATCTAGAAGAATACTTGCCCCCGAAGTAATCATTCCTATATAGCTTGTGCACTTGCATTCATATGTGCTCTATCCTGCTTCATTGTTGGTCGTTCAATGCTGAAAAAATCAAAAGTTGTATTGCAACTTCACCTTCTTATGTCGATTGGAAATTAGTATCATACTTTGAACTCATTGAATCAACAAATGGGTTCTCGGTGGACAATTTGATTGGTTCAGGAAGTTTTGATTATGTATACAAAGGAGTACTTCCTAGTGATGGAACTATAGTAAGGTATTAAACCTTCAACAACTAGGAGCCTTCAAGAGTTTCGTACAGGAATGCAAAACTTTAAGTAGTACAAGGCACCGTAATCTTCTGAAAATTATAACTGCCTGCTCAAGCATTGACAATCATGGTAATGACTTCAAAAGTCTAGTTTTTTAATACATGGTAAATGGAAGTCTAGAGGTGTGGCTGCATCCAAGAGATAATGAGGAATCTAAAAGTAAGAGGTTAAGCCTTATCCAAAGACTGAATATTGCAATTGATGTTACTTCTGCATTGGACTATCTCTACCACCATTCCAGAGCTTCAATTGTTCATTGTGATATGAAGCCAAGCAACGTTCTTCTTGATGAAGATATGGTAGCTCATGTTGGTGACTTTAGTTTAGCAAGGTTCTTGTTTGAAGCATCGGACAATCCCTCTCAAAGTCAAACCATGTCAGCTAGGTTAAAGGGTTCCATTGGCTACATTCCTCCAGGTACGCAGTTTTAATATTTTCCTTTTATCTTCCTAATAACTTAATAATTGGCAACTGTATTCTGCAAACTTTATAATTCAATTTGAATTTAAACATTTGAGTTTGACATCCAATGGCAGAGTATGGCATGGGAGGCCAAGTCTCGACATTGGGAGATGTGTATAGCTTTGGAGTATTGCTGCTAGAAATGTTCACAGGGAAAAGACCTATGGACGACATGTTTGGAGGTCATCTAAGCATTCACCAATTCACAGCAATGGCAATGTCTGACCATGCCATGGACTTAGTTGACCCTTCATTATTGATCATTGAAAGAGAAGATGCAGATACTACTGATGATGCAGCTTGTTCCATGGAAGAATCTTGGAGAAATGTTTTGGTTTCAGTGATGCAGATTGGACTGTCTTGCACTGAAATATGCCTAGGAGAGCAGATGCATACGGATGTAGTTGTCAAGAAAATGAATGGAATACGGGACTCATATATGAACTTGGAATAAGAAGAAACGGGAGCTGGCAACATACAAAATGAAATGGAATACGAGACTGTTGGAAAATATTAGTATTTTGGTTGATTTGAATGTTTGGTTTTCTGGGCTTAGCCCGTTAGCATTAGGGTTTTAATTTTTTACCTTTCAGGATTAGAGTTAGTTTATTATAAATAGGGTGCTTTGTTATTCATTAGAAAACAAGTCAATCGCAATGTAACCTTTAGGGTTTTGTAGTAGTTCCGGCATTCTTGTCTATCAATAATATTCTTATTATTTTATAATCTCGTTTGTTGCGCATTGATATTCAATTTGGTATCAGAGCATGTTTAATCCTTGGGGATTTGATCTGCTTCTGTTCGTATCAGCTTGTTTGTCCTATGTCGTTCACGTTTAGATTGTTTAGTAGTTATTTTTATTAAGGAAAAAAAAGGAAGAATTGAATCTGTTTTTGGTGTCTGAGTCACGCTGCCGGAGCCAGGTCGCATCGGAGCAGAGCCGATGCCTGATGTCTGAAGTTTGAACATGCTATTGTCCAGTATGGATCTTAGATATGTTGCAACCGTCACATCTTGCTGACCCGCACCTTGAATCGCCGCATATTCTCATCGATTTCCTGCAACTTCACGTTGAACCTGTAAACCTATCTGCCGACCCACAATGCTCGTTCTCACTCTCACCCAGACCAGTGAACCCAATCTGCACGCTGCCGCTGCAACTAGGAACCCATCACATCTGCCATTCGAATCCACCCCGCCGCCTTAGACCCAACCTTGTCCCGCCTCCAAACCTGCATATGCTGTGCTTGTTTTGCAAGTATGAAGAAGCCAAGAAGAAAAGAGAAAAAGGAAAGAAAAAAAGAGAAAAAAAAAAGGAAGGAAAAAGAAAAAATTGTTTGGAGTTTTTGTGGCCCACACGGGCAAAAGGAAAAAAAAAAGAAAACTAATGAAAAGGGCTTGAAAACTTTGAGTTTTAATGATAAGGACAAAATAAAGGGTAAAGTGAATAGTACCAGGATTGACTTTTTAGTGTAAAAATGTGGTTTTTCGTTAAAGTGAACAGTACCGGGTGCTTTTCGTTAAAGTTCCCAAAAAAAAAATGGTTTAAGTTTGTTTTTGGGCCACACGAGTTGTTGGCTTGTTTGAAATTGTTTTGTGACTATTATTCGAGTGTTGAATTGTGACCACTCGAGTGATAATATGTGTTTGTTTGTTTGTTGCTACAATTGAGATATGAAAATCTCGTTCGTTTAGTGACAGGTTCTTTCCATACTTTCAACACTAGCCAGTTTGAACATGAACCAGTTTGCCAGTTTGCCAGTTTGCAAGTTTGCAATCAAGAATCAAGACTCAAGTTAAGTCAAGAATCAAGAATCAAATCAAGTCAAGTCAAGAATCAAGTCAAGTCAAGTCAAATTTGCATGCCTGCTAGTCCACCTAACGGAGCCAGTCTGCATCTGCTTGTTTGTAAACCCATGTTGTATACCTCCATGAGTTTGACGGGAGGTGTGGAAAATATTAGTATTTTGGTTTATTTGAATGTTTGGTTTTCTGGGCTTAACCCGTTAGCATTAGGGTTTTGATTTCTTACCTTTTAGGATTAGGGTTAGTTTATTATAAATAGAGTGCTTTGTTATTCATTAGAGAACAAGTCAATCACAATGTAATCTTTAGGGTTTTGTAGCCGTTCCGGCATTCTTGTCTATCAATAATATTCTTATTATTTTATAGTCACGTTCGTTGCGCACTGATATTCAACCTCAAATCTAAACTCAATCTATAGGCTCATATTTAAGCAAGAATTTATTTGAATAATCGATGTTATATGTATCATTGCGTGTGCTAACTTGTAAGCTTGAAATAATATAGCAGAACAAGTGAAGGATTTTTCGTTCCATTTATCCCCTGGTCTGGTTTACTGAAGGCCAACTGATACACTATACTTCTCTGTTTAATATTTTGTTGAGGCGAGCACAAGCGGCTTTGTAGGCGGGGCGGGAGTGATAACGCCTATGCCCACTCCCACTCTCAATCGGGTTGTTAACATCACACAAAATTAAACTGAATTCAAAATTTTATAAATAAATTGGCCATATAATTGTGCCCTTCATTGTCTTGACTTATTCAACAGCAACTAAATTGGCTGTATCTCTCTATGCTTACATAATTTTTTGAAATTTTCTTCCCTTTTTAATACACTTTAAAATTGCTTGAAAGGGAGAGATTAACAATAATCAATGTATAAAACACAAATTAGTCAAAGTATAGAAGTAGAGATGATAGAATAATGATAATCGAATCACAATGATTGTATAAAATTGAAGGCATGAAAATTTCTCTTGTAATATTTTTCTGTTGCCGGGCCATCTGTGTGTAGAGGCCAATGTTTTAAAAGACGTGTCCCGAGGCACGCCTAGACGGCTTTGGAGGCAGGACGGGAGTAATAACGCCTTTGCCTAGTGGGAGTGGGCGAAAACTCGCCGAGGCGAGCCCAGGCGGCTGAGGCGCGTCTAAAAGCGGTTGGCAAGCGTTCCCAAATCCATCCACAACCCAAAATCGAAATCAAATGCTATGTTGTCAGGCTCTGCCATCTGGTTTAGGGTTGCAGGGTGTGCGGCATCTTCACGAGGAAGATGACCGCAAAGAAGAAGAGGCATTTTTTTTTTAAGACTTGGTCCAAAACAACATTGTTTTGGCTAAGTCTTTAATTTTTTTTAAATGACTTGGCACAAAACGACGTCGTTTTGGCCAAATCTGTTTTTCTTTTATTTTTAAAACTCCAAGAGTCCCCTGTTTCCTCTATTTTTCTCACCTGTTTCCTCTGTTTTTCTCTGCAGTCCCCTATTATTTAAGGTCCCGTAAGGCTTTGCCTCACACCTCACGCCTCACGCCTAGGCTGGGCTATCCCTTGGATGCTTGCCCATGCCTCACGCTTTTAATACATTGGTAGAGGTTATTGTCAAAATACTAGAATAACACGGAAAAATAGTTATGATCAAGCACATCTTGAATGTGATGAAAAATTCGCAGCCGGGGCTGCGGTTGTATATGGTTTTTCAACTCCTTACTAGACACGGCGATCATGGGAGCTGAATTATATGTATCTTCTATTGTATGCGTTCATGTAAATGACAATCGATTTCTTAGTTCAGAGCCAAAAGAGAAAAAGAAGAAAGAAATTTTTGTGTTTGCTCTGTATTTTTCAAAAAGGATGGACCATTCAAGTAGTACTAAAGTTAGGCTGGTTTTGTTTAAACTCTTTTACGGCTTCATTTTTTGAGAGAAATTGAAAAAAATGACCAATTTTCTTAATCTTAGAACTAAAATGGCATTTTTCGAATATGCACATAACATGCACACGCCATGCACAACAATATGATAGAAATATGATTTTTCTAAAACTTACAATTATCGAATTGTCCTCACATATAAATGACAAATAATTCCAACTCTTATTTCTCATTTTGTAAAAATTCCAAGAAAAAATTCCCAATGTAAAAAACCGAATCGGAAAATGGACAATGCATTGTAGTGTTTGAATCCAAATATAAAAATTAGGAGTTGCGCAAGGTGTGAAGTGTAGGAGGCGTGAGAGTGATGGAAAACACAGAACCAGAAAATTGACAATGTCTGAATTTAAAGGTAAAAAACAGAACCAGAAAATAGACACTGTATTCAAGTATCTGAGTCCAAATATAAAAATTACGAGTTGCATGAGGTATGAAGCATATGAGGCGTGTGAGTGATGGAAAAAACCGAATCAGGAAATAGACACTCCATCGCAGTGTCTGAATCCAAATGTAGAAAAAGAATCAGGAAACAGCAGCGTTTGAATCTAAATGTTAAAAAAGAATTTATAATTAACATTTTTTAACAAACGATATTATCTACACTTACGGAAACAAGGTGAGTTTAGCCTACAATGGGCTAACAATAATGTGGTTCAAATTCGCATTTGGCGAGAATTGAACCTAAAACCTCTCACTTATAAGTGAAGATGAATACCACTCGAGCGCAGTACTAAGTGGCATTTATAATTAACACTTGTTGATATATTGTTAATATTCTTGTTATAGGCCTATTTGACTAAACTATTCTAAGGGAATATAGAGGGAGAGGCTAACGGCAATAAAATAGAGAAGAGAGAGATTTAATTGTGAGGTGTGTGTTTTATCACCCCCATTGTGCCTTTATTTATAGTAGTAGGATAGGTTAAATCCTTACCCTAATAGGATTACAACTCTAATAGGATAATATCTACTAAAGATAATATTCTAAGATATCCCTAGGTAAACTAGGATTTACACAATCACATTCCTTTTTTAAATATGATTGTAACACTCCCCCTTGAATGTGGAAATACTCAAACAGAACATCGCATTAGATATTCAGCAGTTGAGGTAAAACAATTGATGAAGTCGTCGGCACAACGGGCAAATGCAAGTTTCTAATATAAAGAAAGTATGCATAGATAGTAAAACTCAAAAAAAAAAAAAAAAAAAAAAAAACCTTGCTATGGTAAAACCTAAGGCAGGTGAAAACCTATAGACTAAGGAGAAAAATGAGAAGTATGAATAATGTCTAAAACAAAGGTCTACGAGACGAAAGTAGTGAACTCAATGGAGTATGATCATCCTAGAATGTGTGCCTCATCAAAACCTTGTTAGGTAGCAAAAACCCAGTGGGAAAAATGCTCCTAATCGTAGGAAGAGTACATAAAGATCAAGTGAGTATCCTAAAGAATACTCTCCCTGAAGTTAGACATAACTTCCAAATAAGAGAACTACAAGCAATTCAACTCAGATAATTTATGCATACTGATTCCTTGGACGAGTTTTTGAAAAGTAGACTTGGGTAATGACTTGGTAAAGAGATCGGCCAGGTTGTCCTAGAAACAGATTTGCTTGACTTCGATGTTATGATGTTGTTGTTGCTGGTGAGAATAAAGGAACTTCGGTGTTATGTGCTTGGTATTGTCTCCCTTGATGTATCCATTCTTTAATTGCTCGATAC